TGTCTAGCTAATTTTTAGTAGAGACGGGGGTCTCGCTCTGGCTCAGGCTGGTTTCGAACTCCTGAGCTCAAACAATCCTCCCGCCTTGGCCTCCCAGAGTGCTAGGATTACAGGCGTGAGCCACCGCACCCGGCCTGACCATAGTTGACTCTTTCCTTGAAGACTCTAGGTTATCATTAAAGCTGTCATTAATCATTAAAGCTGTAGTGTTTTCTCCTCCTATTTTCTCTTTGGCTACCATGCTGTCATCTATAACTTTAGAATTGAGTACGACTGACCTTGGCAGCACTCTCCCTTTGGAATTTTCAACCAGTATCAGGAAAGCAATGTTGTGAGAATTCTTTGTAAATGTAGAGTAAATAACTTCCAAAGTGTTTGAAATGAAGCAGAATAGGGGAAGGAAGGGAAAAATAGATAATTATATAAGACTCTAGATGCCCAAAATATTAAATATAAATATTCATGTGAAAAGAATGAAAACATAGGAAAATCAAATGGTTAATATGTCAGACTTTAAAACCATGGGAGATTTTTTTCCCAAAACTTTATTATTAGCTTTATAATATTGTTCCAACAGAAAAAAAAAAATATTGACTGTCATCTTTCCTACCTAACACCCTCTAGGGATACACAAATGTCACACAAGTATAAAGTTATAGGAAAGTTCAATAACCCTGTGATTATTATTATACTCCTTATTTACCTAACATAGTAGTTGAATCAAATATTGAAAAGAATGTAAAAATGCTGTAGGAAGTGCTACATTATCATAAGGTATTATTAATAAATATATATGTGCCTGATATTATACAGTTGTTCATTAAACAGCACATTTAAATTGGTCATTTCAAAGCGGGCTTGTGGGGCTGTGAAACCAGGATCTCTTAACATTATGATCAAAGACCGACATTCTCCATAGGACACCAGAGTCACTCAACAGTCTTATGATTTCCTAAGGAACTGTAAAGCACAGTCATGTATCATCCTGACAGTTCACTTATAACAATCCATGACTGGTGATATGGGTAAGTAAATGAATGTCTGAAAGTTTAACCAAAACAAAAGTACATTAAAGATCAATTAACTCTTTTCAGACAAGCCAAGTGGGGGAGAAAAAAAGATCAATTAACTCTTTAAAAAAATAAATAAAATCAATTAACCCCTGAGAAGACTGATAAGAGAGAAAGAGAGAAAACACAACCTATTAATATCAAGAATGCAAAAAGGGATGCCACTATAGATCCTACAGACATTAAAAGGATATCAAAGGTTCATTAGAACAACTTTATGCCAATAAATATGGCAACCTGAGTGAAATGAATTAATTTATTGAAACACATAATTTACCCAAACTGACACAAGAATAAATAAAAAATTTAAATAGCTCCCAAACTATTAAAGAAGTTGAATTCATAATCAAATACCTTTCCTACAGGATGAAACTCCTAGCCCAGATGGCTTCAATGATAAATTCCATCAAACATTTATAAAATAAATAATTCAAAATTAACACAAATTCTTTCAGAAAATGGAGAGAAGGGCAACTTTTTACTTGTGTTATGAGGCTGGCTTTACCCTGATATCAAAATCTGACAAAGACATAGCAAGAAAAAAAATTATGTATCAGTATTCCTTATAAACATAGATGCAAAAGATCCAGGCAAAATGTTAGGAAATAGAATGCGGCTACATGTAAAAAAGGGCATATATCATGACTAAGTGATCCTAGAAATGTAAACTTGGTTTAACATTTGAAAATCAATAAAGGAGAAAAATACATAGTCTTTTCAATAAATGGCAAAAAAAAAGTACTTGACAAAATTCAACACCCCATTCATGATAAAAACTCCCAACAAACTAGGAATAGAAGGGAATTTCTTCAATTTGATAATGGGCATCTATAAAAAGCTTAATTAATTAAGATCATACTTAACTGTGAAACACTAAAACTTTCCCCATATAAGGTGGGATAACCTCTCTCACCACTTCTATTCAACATTGTTCTGAATTCTTTACCAGTTCAATAAATCCAGAAGCAAAAAAGTCATGACATTTATAAAAGAAAAAGTAAAAATGTTATTTTTTTTTAGACTTCATGATTATGTATAAAGAAAATCCTATGGAATTTATAAAAAAAACAGAACTGATATTAAATTTCATCATATCACAGGATATATAATAAGATCAATATACAAATAGCAATTGTGTATCTCATGTTCACAATGAACAATTAAAATGACATTAAAACTAATTTCATTTACAATAGTATTAAAAATATAGATAAATCTAACAAATGAGTAAGACCTCTACCCTGAAAATTGCCAAAGGGTGCTAAGAGAAACTAAAGAGGACCAAAATAAATGGAGGAAGGTGCCATGCTCATGAACTGGTAGACTAAGTATTGTTAAAATATCAATCCTCCCCAAATTGGCCTATAAATTCAACTATAATCCCATCAAAATAAAATTGACAAATTGATCTAAAATGTATATAGAAATGCAAAGGAAAAAGAAGAGAAAAAGAAAAAGAAAACCCTAAGAAAGAAGAAAGAAGTTGGAGGACATACCCTACCTGATTTCAAGATTATGAGGTAATAAAAATAAAGACAGTATGGTATTAGCTTAAGGACAGACACACAGATCAATAGAACAGAATATACATCCAGAAACAGACTGACTTATATACGGTCAATAGATTTTGACAAAGACACCAATGTAATTTAATTTGCTAAAGATAACTGTTCCAACTATTGGTGCTGGAACAGTTAGATATTCATCTGTACAAAAATGAACCTTGACCTTAACTTCACATCCTACACAAAAATTAACTCACACTGGATCATACACCTAGATGCAAAAGTTAAAATAATAAAACTCTGGAAGAAATCGTAAGAAAAAATCTTTGTGTTTTTCCATAGGCAAAGATTTCTTAGGACATAAAACACACAACTAGAAGGAAAAAAATCATAAATGGATTTCAAAATTAAGAATGTCTACTCTTTGAAAGACCTCATTAAGAAAATGAAAAAGTATCCTGTAAACTAGAGAAAATATTTGCAAAATCTGACATAGTTCTTACATACAGAATCTATTTTTAAAACCATAATTCAATAAAAAGACAAACACAAACAAAATATGGCCCAGCAATTATACTCCTAGGTATTTACTCTAAGAAACATGAAAGCATAAGTCTACACCAAGAATTGTATACAAATATTCATAGCAGCCTTATTCACAATAGCCAAAAACTGGAAACAATCCAAATGTTCAATAGGACAATGGATAAACAAATTGTGGCATAATATTAGCATAAAGGAATACCATGGAACAATAGATTTTGCGATACATACAAAAACATGTATGATCATATAAACATTGTGGTGAACAAAAGAAGCCAGATGCAAAAAAAAAAAAAAAATACATATCGTAGTGATTACATTTATAGAAAGTACAAAAAGAGCCAAACTTAATCTCTGTTGATAGAATTTAGAAAGTAGATGCTTTGTTGAGAGCACAAGGAAACTTTCTGGTATGAAGAAAATGTTGGACATGTTGTTTTTAATGGTGGTTCCTTCTGTGTATACAACTGTCAAAATTCATCACACTGAACACTTAAGATCTGTGCATTTTATTGTATGTAAATTATCTTAATTTGAAAATATAATTAAAAAAAAGAACCAATTAGCTTTGAGGGCTTATTCTACACGAGAACTCTTTCTGATTGCTATTTCTCAGCTTAGAGCCTTTTTATCGTTTACTTCTTTCCCGGAAGTAAATTTTGTTTGCTTTACTTCCTTCGTACATACTCTGAGACAGGGATCTTTTTGGTATCTTGCATACCTAGAAGCATCTGGTTCATAATCAGAGTGTACCACATACCTGCAGTTACAAGGCTAATCTCAAGATAAACATGATGTTTTATTATGATTATGAATATTGTTGTTATCAAGTAGATATCTAATTTTATTTGCAGCAAAGATAAGGATACGGTAAATGCTAAGACCTGTCAGGATGCTAACTACATACTTACTCAACTCAGAGAACTAAAATCCGTCAGCATGCTTAGGATTGGCATACTGCATCTACCACCTTAAATAAGAAGACACAAAAGTCCCTGATTCTTAGATTCCTTATCTGTAAAATGAACATGATCCAAGGGTCATCCTCATAGAGTTATTGTGAGAATGAAATAATAATTGTAAAGGTCTTATAAACACTGGTTGTACATGATAGGCACTATATAAATATGAACTATTATTATTATTTAAGATATCTGGATTCATTCCTATGCACAAATACCACACTAAAAATATTAGCCATTAGGGATAGATTTTCAAAGTTTTCTGTCAAAAAAATACAGGCACTACAATGAAACACATAATCTTCATTTTATTTTTGCCCATTTTAAAATATGGATATTAATGCTAACTTAAACTACAGGAGCAAAGGATTAAAGAGTTGACCATTTTAAACTATATTCTTCAAAGGTATTATTTAAGGAAAATGGGTTCTTTATAAAACCTTTAAAAGTCCATTTATTCAACACATTTATTGAGTGCCTATTCTAAAGTGTTTTCCTTAAAGCAAACTATCACATTAATTAATTAAATACTGCCTACATGTGTGAGTATAAATGATAAAGGTGGGATTTTTGGAAAACACTAGCTCCCATTAGATGTTAACTCCCATAATCAACTACAATCAGCTCTTCTGGGGGAGGGCTGGTTGGGTAGGGGAGGAGGCCAATATCATACACTTGGAGAGGTGAGTATTCATCTTAGATTCTTCAGGAAGAGAATCACCTGCAGAATCGAGGTACTGAGCCACCCTACTGAGAGATGGGTCTAATGCTGCAGGTGCCCTTTAGGAAAAAAAATCCGTTGACCTAAATTACACACTTAGACTGGAGGATTCTATCTGGTACTACTCCCCTTTTATTTGGCTTTAAAGAACTATCACATGATTTTGCAACCAAAAGGGAGCAAAGTAAAACCAAAATACCATGATCTTGATCTGGTGCTTCCAGGTTGTAGCCATACCCCAGCAGGGTGCGCACAGCCTCACGGAGGCTGTCCTTGTTCGATTTCTTCGTTCGGTCATCCAGAAGAGTGTAGGGAACGAGGCGAGGGTTTCTTCTGTTCTTAACATCCTACAGGAAAAAGAAAAGGATGCACACATCAGAACAACACCAAGGGATTTGGCAGATACCAAACGCATCAAAATTTAAAGCTTTTGAGGTAAAACCTGCCTCTTCCACATTCCTTTTGTCTTCCCAGGCTACAGAAGTTACTGAAACACCGTCAATATAAAAGATTCTATCAAATGAATAAGTGCATGAATTTAAAGCAGGCCCTTTCCATGAGAACAAAAGACAAAAAAACAGTAACAAAAGACAACTTTTAATGATCTCTAATCACTTCCATCTGCCCTGGTCACAAGGCAAACGGCTAACTTAGAGAACATATAATTTCCTAGTGCAGCTCACTGGTGAGTTTTTGTTCCAAGAATAGCCAAATTCGTACTGGTCACTCTTTGGTGATTTTGAGTCAACGAACAACATGAGGCTGCTTTCCTTTCTTCAGGAAAAACCCAGCATGTTATGGGCTGCCCTTCTATGTCCCTCAAATAGCTTGAAAATTATGCATTAGGCTCACTCCACCAACTGGTGAAACCAGCCAATACCAGGGGCACTGAAATGACAATAAAACTCATAACGTATCTATTATAAAAGAGGCTCCAAATTTAAAATGTGGGTAAAATGTGTTGACAAAGGGAAAGAACAGGCGATTTTCCTTTCTTGGCAAGAGGATGTCTAATTTTACAGTAAGTAAAAAATCTACTTTCATGGGATGGTGGAGATGTTATCAACTCCTGTAAGTGTGTAGGGCATTGCCGCTTAGGAAATGATGTTCCTACACCCTCTCAAAACAAACAAAAAAAAGGTATGGAGATTGTTCAGGTAAACCCAAGAAGGGATATTGTTTTGTCTCTTCTTTCTGCCAAATTTGTACTGAATACCTGAACAACTACTGACACCTGGAGTTAAAATCATCTGTAACAAAACTGGGTGGGGAAACCTGATCTGAACTGATGCAAGGCTGTTTAGTCTTTGTTTATCCCTCTTCATATTATTATGCCCACATGATGCTGAATGAATAATAAAGTCTGCTGCCCAACTGAGGTTGTTATATAACATGTAGTATATTGTCATATCACCATTCTGAAAACCAAAAAAAAATTGAATCTTGAAATTCATTTGGCCCCAGGGGTTGTGAATAAGGAATTGTGGACCAGTTTTATTACCATTTTATCTTAATTTTCTCATATTTCAAAAGTTTCTTGTAAAATACAATCTCAGAGAGAGAAATGCCAAAAAATCACATCATAAATCACCAATGTGGTTATTACTCACTGTGTACCTAATATACGTCTTTCATGATCACATGCAGAGCTGAGGTCATCTAATTTCTCGAGTCTAGTATTAAACAGTTGCTTTAGTACAAATGTGCAAGTACATTAAGGTATCTATATGATACGAGTTTTAAAACAGTCATTATTAAATCCCTCCTGTTACAAATTATGCTAATTGCCACTTTAGTTAAGTCTCAGACTACAAGACCGAGACTCAGAGCTCAAGGCCCACGTACCTGCTGGATGCCGTAAGTCCAGCCCTGTCGGATTCGATCCCGGGCCCACACGTTGTGGGCATTTTCTGCCAACTTGTCCACCATTGCTTCTTGGGATGGAGTGAGTTTTATAAAGCTCAGGTCCATTGGGGCAGGCTTGTATCCACTTGTTAGCTGGTAACTACAAAGCAAAGAAATATGGGTATTATTGGCTTTATCATAAAAATCCCTATCATAGTCATTTTATGGCCTCACCTAATTGCAACTGTCCCATAAACAACACTGGTAACCACTGGTAAAGTACCAGTCAGCAAGCCTGGGTCCCATTCACTTCAGCTAGTAACTGATTAGGTAGAAAAACAACACAATCTTTATGTTTTCATTTTAATATCGATAAAACAAGAATGACACATCTTACCAATCTCTCAGTGATTGGAAGGACCTATCACTGTTTGTGCTCCTAATAGTTGAGGCTTTTGTCTATTCTAAAGCAAAATATTGGTTATCTATTAAAACATTTGATGAATTTCTCGTCTTGTGAAGTCCTGATTTTTCTTCAACTTTAAAATGTTATACTAATGTAATATTTATTCCATAAATCAGGCATTCTTTCAGATACTATCTGTTCCTTATTCTATACGGAAATTTTAATGCATTTGTAATTTATTTCCCTATTGTAGTCCCTAGTTACATTATTTAGGAAGCCTCTAAATAAGATAGAGTCTAGGAAGTAGAGAAAATTTCAGCTATATAATCATCTAAAATATGATTACATTTTATTTCCCTGGAGTTCGAGGAACTCTTACCAGAGACCTACTTTCACACTCTGAGCTGGAGAAAGAAGATATGAAAACAGGTCTAAGTTTCCATCTTTTGGGAGAAACATAAAATTGAAAATATTCAATTTTCAACATGCATATATACGGGCAATAGTATTGCCCTGCTCCACAAAGACACTCAAACAGCTATTTCATTCTATTTAACTACTGACATTTGGCACGAAGCCTATTTTATAACTGATTTTCTTTCATTCTTCTGTCACTGCTGTATGCCCAATGATAGACTTGTCAGGATCTGTTTCTGAACAGTTTTTCTAACTGGCATTATTCTTAAAACAGTTCCCAGAAGATAGTGGCCTTTTGATAGTTTTTGAAAGAATTAATTTTATTTACCAAATTCATATAAACATACAAGCACCTTCAACGCAAGAAAATTCACTAGATAATTATGCCAAGTTACAAAATTAATTATCAGAACGTGTGAGAAAATGCTCTTTAAAACAAAACTGTAAATGATCTTTCCTGTTATTATTCTGGGCTACAGCTGGCATCATTACAAGATGAGCTCCTCGAGAGCAGGGAGTTTGGCCACTTTGGTCACTTCAGCCACTTAGGCCTCAGCATCTAGAATAGTGACCAATACGTGGTAGGCATGCAATAAAAATCTGTTAAATGAATTAATGTATTACAGCAATAAATAATTTTTGAGGTTTAATAAAGTTGGCTTTACCTTAATTACTCCTATTTCATTATAAAACATACCATATTTTATAAGTAACTTACTGTAGACAAAAGTTTTAGGAATATTTTGTTTTGAGTAGATTAGATTGCAACAATTATGGCTTAATGTCATTCAATTAACATTCATAAGATTTGTTCCATTTTAAATAAGAACTTCGTACAAGCAATTAACACTTGCTTTTCTTTTTTTTTTTTTTTTTAAATAAAAGAGCCTTAGGGATTTTTTAACCACTCAGATGAATCATTGTATTTTATAGACTTCCAATGTTTAAATAGACAAATCTATAAACTGTCGTCACAGCCACATATACAAGTTCTCATTTGGAAAGTATGTTCTTCAAGAGAGAGCTTCTAATATATTTCTAGTACACTCACAGGTGATCAAGCTAGCATAGTCTAATTTCCAAGTTTAACATTGTTTGCTGGACACAGCCTCGGGAGACATGGTGAAGGCTCAGTCTTCTGCTCTCCCCCCACCTCCCCAAGGCTACAGCGCTACTTCCCATTCCCCTCCACTGGCCCATAATCACCCAGCACAGGGCAGCACACAAGCTCTTGTCTCACCTAATTAGTCTTGGCCCTACCCAGCTGTTACAGAGGACACACAGATGATAAAGTTTCAGTATTAATCTATGAATCACTGATTACAGCCAATGCTACCCTAATGAGGGATGTGTCCGTTCTTAAAGAGGAACGATCTTTCCCTACAACTAGTTCCAATGGTAGACTTTTCAGCAATATCTCCTGGAACAAGGAGACATTTTCAAAAGGTAGAGGGTGGGAAGGAGGCCCTTCCAAATAAAAAATTAGAGACAAATTCTACTAATGCGTGTAGCTGGATAATACTGACACAATCGTTTCTGTTTATTTTCTAAATTTTCTTCCTTCTGTATAAGATTTATTCTAGAGTTGCTTTAATCTGTGATCACAGTGAAAACTCCTGGAGATGTATTTGCATCTGTTGATTTGATGTAGCAGTAGCACAATAATTAGTTCACACTCATTTTCAGATGTAGATTGCAATTTATTTTACTTGCTTTTCGGTATAAGCCTGTGCAAGAAAGGATGTGGAGCTTAAAGTGGAACCACTCAAATGGCTATTAATCCCATCCAAATTCAAGTTACGAAGTTCTACTTCACCTGAACCTTTTTATTTCTACCTCTGTTGTACTTCAAATCATCTTATACAGTAAAAATAAATATAATTATCTTTGAAATTCACAGACTTCAACTGACTGTATTTGATAAAACTACTGACATAATGAATGCTTCACAAATCTGAATTAATGGTATCAACAATAGTTTATGGTACCATTTTTCTGACTGTCAGAACATCTTGGCAAAGAAACTAAGGATCAAATCATCATAACAAAATACGATGTTTTTAAAAGTAAATAAATGTACTTTGACAAATGATATCCATTTTTATCTTATTAGTATAATTTAATTAGGTACACAAAGGCCAATAAACTGCTAATATGAATTATTATTTTATCTTCTCATGGTTGAAAATGTACAAAGCTTTTTGTATAAAATGTAACAGACATGAATCTTAGAAGCTAAACAGTTTTGAGCAAAATTTCAAGAAATTTAAAGTAAATAAAGAATGCTAAAATAATTCTTAGGAAGTAAAATTTCATAGCCCCCAAGCAGGAAAAAGTTCTATCACAATTATATTAATACGAAATACATATAGCTCATATTAAAGACATCTATGCGTTACATTATACTTTTTTAAACTTCCTGTAAAAATTCTGCCAGAATCAGCCAGTAGATCCCTCTCTCTCTCCTCTAATTTATTTGTTTAGTGGGTACAGCTTTCACTCCCCTATTTTAATATACAAGGTCTCTGTGCTTTCAATCATCCTACAAAATTAGCTTATTAGGAATATGTATGGGATTAACCAAAAACATTCAATATGTTTACTTTCCAAA